TCCGTCTCAGGGCACTTGTCAACCGAGAAGCCTCTCCTCTCTTTCCTTTTTTCTTCCTCCTCCTTCTTTTCCTTCCTTCCTTCTCTGATCCCTCCTCCTTTACCTTCTCCCTTCAACTACTGGACTGGTAGATGCCTCGTGAAAATAACCCTGGACCCTCGCAGCGAGAGCACGTCTGGTTGACAACAGCCCCGTAACCGCTTTTCTCAGTCGTTGCCACCATGGGGCGGACAGTCATTGATGGAAATAGGCTGGCGCCACCGACGCTCCGTAAGACACTGCACATGCCACCATGGGCGGAACTGAGCAATAACCGAATCTGTTCATTTAATGGATAAAATTATATAGTGGAAAAGCGCAATGGTTTAGGTGACTCCACCCATGTGCTCAGCGTGGAATGTACCCTAAAGGCACAGCGAAGGATCAGCTGAGGTCACAAAGCTTGAAGTTCACAAACGCCACAGAATGTGCCTTTTAATGGATTTTTGGTTGAGGTGGGTTCAGCCTTCAAGTTACTCAACGCTCAGGTGAAAAAGAATTACGGTGGGTAAACCCAAGGGATATGGGAGGCGCCGTGCACCCCACAATCTTGCAAGTCGTAGCAGCATTTTCTAGGCGATATGATCTATGCCACGACTTGCAGGAGCAATCAGTGCACGAATAAGCCAATTACTAGCCACGGTAGTTATTTTTGATCCAGAGTAGTCTATAGGCGGTAATTTGTCTAATACGTAATTCATTTTACTTGGTAATTGAAAACACACCAGACTTGTTCTGCTTGAGGATCTTTGTGAACTGTTCGAAATATTTTTGACGTGCAGGCTCGAAAATTTCCTTTGCCGCAGTTTCCTATAAGAAAAGGTTCTTTTTAACGAAGACTGGGCTCAATTCAGTGAACTCACCAGATCGCCCTTGTCCATTCCCATAACGATTTTGAAGTATGGGCGAACATCGTTGAGGAAATCCTTGAACTGGTCAGCAATCGCATCGACCTGTGCTTCATCCCAATCGCTCTTGCCCGCGAAACCTTACGAGGTAAAAGGTATTCGAATACCTGGGTAAATCAACAGGTTGACTGATTCCTACCGAATTTTCTGGCCAAGTAGCGGAACGATAGCATAGGACTGAGGTAGCTGCTTTCCGTCAACTTCAAGTACCGGCAAGCTGTCCGAAGGGCATTGCTGAACATTGGAGTTATCAATGAGAAAAGTCCCTCCTTCTCTCTATTCTCTGGAACCTTTTACAGCTTAACACCCACAAGCTTTGTGCTTCGGCCACTCTTCGTGGCTCATACGAACGTCTGTGAAATTTTGGCTCGCGAGAACGAACACCTGGAAATGAAATTATCTAGTGAAGAACAGTGACTGGAAGCCAGTTTAGGCCAGAGGCTTTCCGGAGAGGCAGGGCCAGCGACTTCAGGAGAGACATACCTGACGAATAATCTCAGCAGCTCCTCGTCCATCGAAGTAGGTAAGTTTGTAGCTGACCATTCTAAATAGCACTTGACTTTTTCGTCATGGAAAAAAAATAACGCGGAATTAGAGAGTTACTGTTTGAATGAGGATTTCACGACTGACAGTCATGTCATTTGGAGTCAACTGACATTGGACCTTCGAATGAAGAGATACCCATTTTATCGAACCTGTGTGATCCAGTGGTAAGCTACACTGCATGCAGTCCATAAAGGCTTGAAAAAAGGGTCCTATCAACAGCGCTAGTTCTCATGCCATTCCCCTTTCCGCCTGTGCCTCTATCCTCTGAACATCTGAAGCCTCGCAACCACGCTGAGCTTGCAGCCACACCCTTTTCTGCCCGCAGATATGGGTTCCGCGCATGCGGTCCAGGCAAATAATTATTAAATCAAATTTCACTGATGCGGATGGAAACT